TTATATGTGTTTTATATTGCGTTTGAACAATCATGTCTAAATGCTAAACAAAATTCATTAAAAGACATAAAAGACAAAGTGTTTGCTTTTACTCTACTAAAAATCACTGGTCATTTAGAGCCACCAAATAAATCAATAGTTACTAATAACTTCAAAGGTTCTACCATGATTAACTTGCTATGGCATGAAATATAGCCAACTCTGAAGTTGAATTGGCAGGGCAGAGGAAAACAGCTTTTACTAACTGTGCAATCAAATGATCCAGGTCATTAATATGGCATTTCAAGGCTGCAAACCTTCACACTCACTGAGAAATCCCACACAATGCCGGTAGATTTTTTTAAAACAGGTATGCATGGGGTTTTCATTGTAAGATTATTTCAATTCCTTGATTGTTGAAGGGGAAGGAAACTTTATGAAAGCATTACTGACACCAGTAAATTAAACTATTGATTGCCCTTTAAATGCCATCAGCTCTGCTCCTTACATGAGAGTACACACAGAATTGATCTCAACATTTAAATTAAGTGTTTTATAGCTGAAATCATTAATCTCACAATTAACATTATCCCTTTTGGATCACTCTGCATCTATTTCATCTCAAGGCTTCCATTTCTAAATCATAGTCTAATTTCACATTCACCCACATATCTAATCAGATGTTAGTTCTATTGACCTCAGTTGAAGGCTACTCTAAATGAAATCTGTGCATAACTGTAAGTTTAGCTTATTTAAAAAAGTGTCTTGAAATTGAAGAGCTCGTAATTTTTTTACATAATAATTGAACCGAAGTGCTTCAGTTCACAGTTGTTTCTGTTGGTGCTACAGTTCCAAACAGCAGTCAACTTCAGGTGTATTTAACTCTTCAAAAAGCCAATCATATTACAACTAAAGAAATGTAGTTGTGCTATTCATAAAGCTAAATTGCCACATAAGTGGATAAATACTGGATTGAAATATTCTTTGTCTTTATTTATATTCTTTGTCTTTATTCTGGCTGCTTTTTGTCAGTTTATAACCTCTGTATTTTCCCATTATTGTTTTATTATTTTTACTTCATTTTGGGGAGTACCTGTCTCAGTTTGCTGTATGTTTTTAAATAGTTTTCATGTGCTTACTTAGCTCAAGAAACTGATCTGCTTACACACCCAGAAATTTATTATTTCACCTTAAACAGGGTAGACTGATCTTGTTTGGAGAAGCATAATATAGCAAAGTAAGAAAGTATTCACTGATACTTGATTAGGAAACTTTTATATTCCTAGTCAATTAAATAAACACGTACAATACATTTCGTATTTATTTAGGACAACTTTCTTCAAGCATGCAATAATTTAATAACAAGTTTGGATAAAGCATAACTAAAACCACTGACTGCTTTCAGAGTATGCAATGGTTTCTTTGAACAAGGTAGCAATAAGAATAATAGTTGAAAAAAAAGGAAAATGTCAAATTTTTGATATATGAAAATTTTTGTTATGTGAAAATGGCAACACTGTTCTCTTGGACTGAGAATAGAAATATTTAATGAGTAAAGTAACAGCAGGAGAGAGGAAATGAGGTATACTGTATGCACGTGTATTATAATGCCAATGTTAAATTGTACCAGCCTAATACAGTCATTTTTCCAGCTAATTACATTTTGCTTTATTTGTCCACCATATTGAATCACAACCATCTTTTCCAGTTCTGCAACAACTAGTCTGCCATCAGATCTCCTTAATCAACACAGTTCATATCTCTTTTTAATCAAAGAAGAGGCGTACACAACAAGGCACCGCTTACTAAAACCGTTATGCCTCTCAAATGTAGTGCTCATGTGGCTGCAATTTCATGGCCTATGTTAAGAGTTACATAAAAATGAACAATGCACATTGCTAGAAAACCTTTGAAACGGAAGGGGGTGTTAATCATTGCTATGAATTTCCTGTTGTTTGAAAGCAAGTCACGCGCCATATGCAAAAGAAACCTGGGCCGTATTTTCCAGCTACAGGTTGGGCATACCAGACTTTTCTCATGACATAATCTGAGCAACACAATCTGTTCAAACCTAAGCTTCTGGTTGCAAGGCCATATATAGAATGGGAGCAATGCTCAGGTTTCTTTTTTTAAAAAAATTATTTATTTATTTAGTCAAGCGATTATAAGATAACAGGTATAAGAATAAACATAGTTATGAATACATGAAATTGATACATACAAGGAAAAAAAAAACAGGACATGGACCGTAGGCACATTGGTGCGCTTATGCATGCCCCCTACATTTTATCCCTAATAGTTATGGTAGAAGATTTAGGTAATGTGCTGAGCAAAACTGTAGAGACACGTTTCTTTCCTCCGTAATAGCTAACGTCTTCCTGACAGCTCTGTTCATCAGTTGAGGAAGATCTTTTAAAAAACTGTCTTCCTTTACTTGTCTCTTCCATCTGGGAACTCTGTCTCCTGGACTCCACTAAGGACATTCACACAAGCTCACATAATCACCAAGTACTGTATGACAAAAGAGCTGAGCCAGGAAAGTTGGCAGCAGAACAAATCTATCAAAAAAAAAAAAAAAGGACCCCAAATGTCTGAGCAATTTTGTCAAGAAAGCCATAAATCCATCACAAATCCTCAGAAACAAAGAGAACATTTGATGGTTTGGTTTTTAATTTAATTTAATTCTTTTTGGGGATTTAGTTTTGTTCCTTCTTAAATTCTTTTGATAGCAGACTTTGTAAAACATTGAAAAACAAACTCTCCCATAAAGTCTGCTGCAACAATTAGTGCCATTTGTTATAACTTTTAAAAGCAATGAATGCTCCTAGATTTTTTTTTTTTAGCCAAGCTCCTATTTCCTTTGAGATGTTTTAATCCAAAAATATTTAACATACAAACCAAATGTTGATAAAACATCAGATCACATAATATGAAACAGAGTAGAAAATTCTCCATTAATTTTTTTCTCTCCATACTTTTACTGAAATAAGTGCAAAGGGTGGGAGAGTGTAAATAAGGAGGAATACAAATTAGATCTTAGGACAGGTCAAGGAATACTAAATTAAACCACTTTTAATTGAAACATTAAACTTTATTTAAATCACAGCTACTGTATAAATTCAGCCACTTCTATAGAATGTGATTTATTTTCTTTTAACTTGTAATATATTCCTGCAACCTGTTGTATATACTGCATAGTCTTAGGCCTATGGTTTTTGATGCCCTGCAATAGTTCACGTCCACTATGCTCCACATACTTTCACTTCAAAAGTATATTTGCATCAGAAGATGAGAGTCAAGTTTTGCTTATTTTTTTCAACAAAATTGCCCTAGAATGCTTACTTACTGCCTCCAACTTTCTCTCTCACCACTTAATAACACTTCCCCATTGTCTGTTTTATAATGGTTGAGCTCCTTCCCTCAAAAGGAGGACAGGATCACACAACTGAAGAATTATCTGTTCATGTGCCCTTGAGATGCTAACTTTCGTTCTCATAAATTTGGCTTTGGTTTAGAAACCAAGTTGAAAAGAGGCAAAAAGGCGAGGAGAGAAAGGGACACAGATCAACGTGGGCCAGCAAGAGGAGGAACCAAAGGAGCAAAGATTAAAAGGGCCAGGAAGCAGACCAGCTGGAGCCAGAGATTTCTAGGTTGGAAACTGATCCGGATCTCGGCCGTTGCAGCGATTTGTCGTTCTGTTGTCTTGAAGTCACATTCAGAGAAGACAAGTGGCATTTCCCTCACTCCCTGCGTTTTTCCAGAGAAGTTCCCGATTTTAAAACGCGTCTTGTCGGGAAACCCTTGAGCGGATTTCCTCGAAGTTGGTTTAAAGGCGCCTCAATCTTTCTCCAGGCCTGGGATAACGGAGGACCGCTGAATTCCCGAGCCAAGAGCGCGGAAGCCGAAGCCGAGCACCAGAGCTGCAGTGCTTCCTTCCGCCCAGCAGAGTTTATACTGCGCACCGGAGGCGTTTGCCTCTTGGCGCCCGCCTCGACCCAAGAAGGCGCTAGATTGGAACGCCGGGAAGTGCCCCCTCGCCGTTTGAACTGGGCTACAGAGGTTGAGAAAGCGGGAGGACCGCCGCTTTGATCTGCTACCCCTTCAGCGACCTGCGCTGTGCAAAAGGGAGAGAATGGGGCCTTTATTTTTTTCTGCCCCCAACCCTCCCGCGACGGTCTGGGGAGTGCGGGTGGGCACAGGAGCCTTGCGAGCTCCCACATCGAGGGTTACAGGAGGGACACTTCAATTGCCACCCAGCATCGCAAGCGGGCGAATCTTTGGGCGACGCTTCGTTTAAAGAAGCGGATCCCAAACGGGGACTTCGGGATTCCGTTAGAGTTGGTCTTTCTTTCTGGAGCAGATAAAGGAGACTTCTGCTCTCAAAGCAGAAAGCAGTTGGTTTCCTCTCCTCCTTACCAACCGATGCCAACCTCCCTCGAATACTTCCTTCTCCGTCGAGATGCATTTTAAAACAACCTCTCTCTTTCATTCTCTCTCTCTCTCTCTCTCTTTCATTCTCTCCCTCTCTTTTAAAATAGGGAGAGTAGACTGCAAACGAGCCAGGCATCCAGAGACCTCCTTCGTGACTCCGCGGGGTAACGGGCCTTCAGGGGCTAATTTAAAAGGAAGGCGCGTGGATTGAGCAATTAACGGGCAAAGGGAAGGTCCTTTTTTACAAGAGTAGCCCCCGGCCACTAAAGCGCTCTCGCGAACAAGCTCGTAGCAATTATTTGGGAGAGGCGCGGGGAAGGAAAGGAGAAGACGCTTTGTGAAGTCGGACTTTTCAAAGGAAAGAGAGCACACGGCTCTAGGTTTATTAAGACAGAAAGTTAATCGACCTGCACCCCACCACGCCGCGCTTCGGTCCAACTCGATCTACGTACGGGGGGGGAGCAAGGGGGAAGACGATCAGGCCGAAAACGGCAAGAGATCCCCGCCTTTAGACAGGGTTCACACCCCACAGACGGTGCTAATTTCAATGAAAGCGAGGTGGGACGCCCTATCTCCCAAGTCCGGCATACCTGTACCAGGTGAGTCCTCGCTCGTAGTTGCGATCAAAAAAGTGCGGCTCGGCGCCCACCGCCCTCACGTCCGGGTGGACCCGCAGGAACTCAAGCAACGCCCGAGTCCCACCCTTCTTCACGCCGATGATCACTGCCTGGGGCAGCCGCTTAGTCCCAGAGCCATTCAGGAAACTGGAAATGAAGCTGGGGGAATCCGGAGCCACTCCGTTGTTGTTGCTGCTGCTGCTGCCGCCGCCACCCAACTCTTCGTCGTCTTCGTCTTCGTCGTTCTCCGGCTCCGCTCTCAGCTGGATCTTGGCCGTCCGGGCTGCGAGCAGCAGCTGGTTGAGTTCCGGACCGGGCGCTTTCCGAGCCGACGGCGAAGAGCCCAGCAGCATCAGCCCCGGCGCAGTTGAAGCGCACGATCCGGCGACGCAAGAGTAGACCATGCAAAGCCACAAGGCGAGCATGATGAAGAGGAGAAGGAGCAACCACCTCCTTCGCCCCGGCGGGAGCAGCGGCGACGAGGCAGGGGGGCCGGGGGCATCGGGGAGGCGGCCGCCGGTCAGGCGCGGCTGGCCCATAGGCAGCAGCCCGCGGGCGGTAACCCCGGGAGCATGATGCGTGGGGGTCCGGCCGGCACGGGTCAGCAGCGGAGCATCGCTCGCACCTTCGCAGCCCAGCGCCGAGCCGACGAGTGCCGACCGCACCAAGGCGCCTTTGCCGGCCAGGCTAGAGCTGAGGAGGACGGAGAACAGGCGCGCCTGACTGGCACCCTTCGGAGCCTATAAGAGCAGTCCGCCGCACGGTAATTAGCCCCCCCTTTTGTTGATCAAAAGCAGCCAATGGTGAGCCGGGTCTCTCCCCCGTGGGGCGGGGAGTGGAGGGCTGCGGGAGGCGATTAGCCGTTCTTATTGGCTAATGAGCCGTTAAAGAGCCCGGGGAGGCGAAAAGGTTACGGAGCTGCGAGGCCGGAGAGGCTATTTGAGTAGAGGCTTCGCCGGTGGAAGCTTGAGCTGCCGTGCCGGCGCCTTCGCTCTTTTTTTTTCTTTTGGTTTGTTTCTTTTTTGTTTCTTTTTCGCCGTTGCTGCAGAGAGGCGAGGATCTGGCTGAAGTTGAGCTGGCTCCGCCAGGCTGTGCTGTGAAGGCGGCGGCGGCGGTGGCGGGCGGTGGCGACCGCGAGCAAAGCCGGTTCTTTGACTAGATGGCGCCACGTGGGAAAGCGCAACTGTGCCGTGGCCAAAACGAGCCATACAAAGGCGGGGTCGGATGGGAGTGGGCGAAGGGGCCGTTTCCCGGCAGCTGCCCGGTCAGCCCTCTTCCATTGCGAATCCATTGAGGACTGAGAGCTTCATCACCATATATTCTGTCTTCACACACAACACACACACACGAAGCGCATCGTGGCGGTCGCCCTCCGCCCCCCAAAAATAGCCAACCTCTGTTAAGCCCTAGGTTGTCGCGCGGAACCACTTTTGGCCAGGAGTTTGCGGTCCTCCGCGACCCTAGGCAAAAGGGTCTCGCTGAGCCCCGCCGGCTTTGTTATTAAGGCTGCAGGGACTTAGGAGTAAACGCTGTGACTTCCGACGAGCCTGTTCCCAGGCATTAGTAAGTTCTCTTTTAATGTTGGGCTAATGTTGGGCTAAGCCGAAGTAATGAAGGCATTTTAGCAAACTCTCATTTTCTCAGTTACGAAGTTAGGGCTTATGACGGAGGTTTCAAAGCATCCCTTTCATCGGGACTGCTTGGGACCGTTACATTTCGGGTGCTAGACCTTGTCTTCCATATAAGGGGGTGGGGTAATCATCGCCCCACTTCAAGAGGAGCGCTGTATATTAAGTTTCCTCTGGAGCCCAATATGGACCTGGTAGCATCACCAACTCTTCTCTCTCTCTCTCTCTCTCTCACACACACACACACACACACACACACCATTTTCCCACAGACTCGAAGATTGGAATTTGGTAGACTTGGAATTGCCTCCCTCCTTGCTGGAAAAAAGGGAGGAAGGAAGACAAACGTTTCTAAGTTGCTCAGTTAGAGGGGCACCTTGAGGTCTATATTTCCCACACACACACACACTATTCAGAAGTAGAATCTACCTATCGTCTTCTGAATAGTCGCGTTCAAGGAGGTTCAGTAGGACCTTCTTTAAGGTCAAGGTTAGACTGGCAGAGACTTCTCTGAGATCCGGACCCTTCCTTCACTCCGGGAAACCCTGTCGCCCGTTGCCCTTGGTCTTCACAACAGTCCCCGAAGTTCTGTGCTACCTCTTGTCTCCTCCCCTGTAAGGCCTGCTCGGCTCCTATCTTGGAGCCATTCTCCAAGGTAAATTAAGAGGCGTTCGTTTGGGCCTCCCCTAAAGACAAAGAGCATAATCTGGGCCTGATCCGCCCGACATGGAGGGGACAAAGGCGATTTGATGCTTCCGAATGTATCTGCCCCTCACGAATTCCCCTAGACTCTCAGAGGTTCCCACACTTGGCAGCTTTAAGACTTGTGGACTTCAACTCCCAGAATTCTGGGAGTTGAAGTCCACAAGTCTTAAAGTTGCCAAGTTTGGAGACCTGTATCCTTCTCAGTCTCCAAACCTGAATGTCTCACATTTTTTTTCTCCCCCTCTTCCTCCTCTATCTTTGGTCGCAGGCCAGGATCTCTTCTTAATTGCCCCTATCTGTCGACCTTCTGGCACTTGCTTTGGAATCTGGGAGAAGGTTCCCTTTTCTCTTCCATTGTCTCCGATTCCCATTTATAATTAATTCAGTGTCTCAGAGCCCCACCACCGTCCCAAATGGAAAAGATCGTTTGTTCCGCTGAAAAACATTGCTTGTCGTAGTAGAGGCCAGAGTAGTAAACCTGATCCGCTGAAAAGGACCTAAGCTCTCGTTCGCCTTTGCGAGTCATTCATGAAGTTCCGTTCGGTTCTCTCGAACTCAGCTACTTTGCTTAAAAGCCGGGATGAAACTTTGTAGAGGCCATTTCTTCGGTACCTGATTTATCGGGTGTTCTAGTGTCACACGGGTATCGGTATTCCTGGCCCCTGCGGCTGGATCGACCCATTAAAGTGCTATCAAATTTTGGCTCTGGGTCAAGTGAAGTCAAGCTAAAGCGCGAGAGGCGATCCATTTGTCTCCAATATCACAGGAGAGGAAATTCACAGGTGTGAACAGTTTAAATAAAATAAAGCGGATTTGGAAGTGAAAGAGAAGAAGGGGTTGTAAAAGCGCAAGAAAAGTCCCGTGGCTGAATCTGAGTCTACATTAAATGTCTCTGGAGATGCTCCATTCTACGCGCTCAATAAGAAACTCGCCGCAGTTGTGTGAAAGCGTCCTTCTCCCTCCCTCCTTACAGAAGGGAAAATCCCATATTGCGCTAAAAGGCCTGAGATATTTTTCTGAATAATTTTATACGTCAGGTGTCACCTGAGAAACGGAAGGATTTCCTGTGCGTCCGAATTCGAACCGAGATCCCGATTTCCGCTTTGCAAGTCAGCCTCGGACTAAAGATCCATGAAGAGCTGCTTAAAACGGGACTCCATCAAGTATACTTGAGAAAGAAATGCTATTTGCATGCGAACCGGATGCGCTGCTGGGTGTGTGGAGGTGGAAGCGAGTCCCGAAAAATTGCGAAAGGAGATGATGAAAATCTGTTTAAATCGGTTCCCACTTATTAATATTGTCATTCATTATAGTTTGGGGTTATATAGTTGGAGCAATTGACAATCCTGGAATTGTTTTTAAAAACGAAGGCTGGAAGCTTATTGTTTGTAAATGAAACACACAAATATTAGGAAACTAACGGCTTCTCTAAAATTAAAGAATACTTTCTTTTAAATTGTCTCCCTTTGTTGTAGTCTAAATGCTTTGGAATGTCGGATCTCCAAATCCTTTAAACCCGGAAAGTAGCATTTTTTTTCATGCTGCCCATGGCACGGGAAAAGGAAAAGGTGAAAGAGGGGCACGAGCGTTGTTTTCTTGTTGTCTTTGATCCTGGAAATTAATTATTCCTGTGACAGATTGAGATTCCGATTATTTTTAGCCTCTTTCTTAATTCTACCTAAAATGAAAATGAATGAGTTAAGCCTTCCTTAGCTGAAATAAGGCTTTAGGAGTTCTCGGCGATCTTTCTTTCTTTCTTTCTTTCT